CAAAAAATCAAAGGCCAAAAAACGAAGTGGCGTACAATGGACTGAGGATACAATAGCACCTTAATCGTGGGCGACCACATGGCGAAGGCATTTCTTCTTTTTGGCTATTCATAAAGATGCAGATTTACTGTTCACGAATGGCAACATACGATAACGATCGGTGCCAGTTGTTTTTGCTTTTATTCATTGGATTAGTTTGAAAACTGGATAAAAACCAAATTACAACAAACAATTCGACGCGATAGTCGGTACCAGATGATTTGAGGTTTTAATTTATATTCGGTTACTTTAAAAAAATGACCCTAAGAAAACTATCCGTTAGAGTGTATATTTATAATCTAAGTAGATCTGTAAAGTGGTGAGTAAATATTCTAGACCCTTGGCCTTAATGTGATCGTCAACAAGGCTTGCGTGCGCGCATCATATTAATTGATTCTGTTCTGCATGCGTTACATTCAAATTATGATTACATGGGTAGTTAAAAATGCTACAGTACATAATTATTATGATAAATTATTTAGACGAGTTCATGGTATTACTAAATTTGAGAAGACTAACTTTTGAACATCATTTCGTAACTAAAAAAACTATTTTATTTTATTTATTTTACTAAGGCTTACACCTATAATTTAAAAAAAATGGTATAAACTAAATAATATCAAAAAGCCTATTACAAACCTCCATATTTGAATAACAAAATTTCAAAAAATAATTACTTATATTTTTATGGTTTAAAGGAATCATGAGAAATAAATATCTTATATATTTTAGTTGCATATATACGTTATACGTTACATATTACGTCTAGTAATAAAAGAATTATATACTCTAAAACAGTATCGACACTTGGTCGTGAGTCTAGGCATTATTTTTGTTCACTTAGTAGAATATGCTATACGAGTTCCAAGGTGAGACGTCAATCATGGTGCTGGAAAATGGCACATGATCCTCTGGCGGACAACCGCAGCGTCCGTTCACAATAATCCGACTCGATGGGCGCCTAATCTCAGGGATTAACGGCAAAGGGAATGAATTTAATCTTTGAGCTTGTTAAAATCTCAATAAAAAAATAAGCGAACAAAAGAAATTAAAATAAAGAAAATTAAAAAATTAAAAACAAATAACAAAAATGGTATCAACTAGAAATATGTACAAGTTATACACCCATATAAATTAATAAATTGTTAAATAGACTTTTTCCAGTCATAATATGACTACATCTTTTTGTTACATATATATTATGTAGATTATACATTTTTTTTACGATACCTACCCAGTGACGGGATGAACAAGTCATGTACCTGGTGTTAGGGCTCTTACACGACACACGACGCGTCGTCGTATTGTGTTTATGTGTGCAGAGCCGCTTAGAACTTTAAATCGTAAAGATCTGAGGGACACTGCTACTGCGCCTGTCACCCTGAGACGTAAGTTAGCTAGTCCTATGGCCCTGTAATTTCACCAGCACCCTTACCCTTTAGGACCGGAACGCAGTAATGCTCATATTACTGCTTGACGGCAGAAATAGGTAATACTTCCTATAATATATATAAATTATATATATATAGTTAACATATATAAATGCACAAATTTGTTAGGAAGTAAAAGGAAAAGTTGAAAATTCTAAACGCAATGCACGGAGAGAGAGAGATAATAGCTTGCCTTGCAAACAAAACTGAATATGTTGAGCCGATAATTTTTATTGATGATGCTTCACTTCTAAATAACATTCGATCTGTGGTATTCGTAGAATTAAAATTGACCTACGTTATGTCATAATTGGGAGAACCAGTTTCAAAATATCAAATGTTGTTGTTCCAATTAATTCCCAAGAGAGAATGCCGTTTATTAACGTAATAGTAATAATGCTATTGCATTATAAATTAAATAATATTACAATGACTTTTTTCGTTTGTGATATTTTATGGCACGATATTTACATTTTGTATATACACAGTTTGGTTATTGTAAGTAGTATGTCATGATCATAACTAAGGCACCGGCAGTGCAAGCGCTAAAGTGCAAATAACTGTCAAAGTTCTGTACTTAGTATAAAGTACTGTTCCAAACTTTACATAATATTTGATGTGAAATTAACCCGATAAAACAGCAAATGTACATACATTTGCTGTTTAAAAAAGTTTCACAGTTAATTTATTTTCAATCTTAGCCGTGACTGTAGAACGTAAATCGCAACAAGACCTTCATCACAAGTCCGTCACCACGAGTCCGTCACCACGAGTCCGTCACCACGAGTCCGTC